ACCTATTTAATCGGTCAACTCACCGGAAATGATATGGGAAAAAAGAGGAAAAGAAAAAAAAAAGGAAAACAGAAAAAAATTGCGAAGTAAAGAGATAAGAAATAAGAAATGAACGTATGTTTTTGAAGGAAGGGAACATGTGGTACAGCTAGATGTTTAGGCAATTTAGATAAACACAGATCTTAACGTTTGATAGTGATTTCAATGTTTAAAAACTCCACAAATAAACTAGATTTAATGCTTGCTAGCAAATTAAATATTTAACTTCTCCACAATTAAATTAGGGATTTAATATTAGCTGAATATTATATTAATAAACAAATAAGAAAAAACAAAAATAAAAATTTAATAATAATAATATTTTAATATTTCAACTTTCCTTGGAATTATCCATACAGATTACCAAGATTTCGTTACTTAACTATATATATATATATATATATATATATATATATATATATATATATATATATATATATATATATATATATATATATATATATATATATATTCACTATATATATATATATATTAACTATATATATATATTAACTATATATATATATATTAATATATACTATATATATATAAAATATATATATATAAAATATATATATAACTATATATATATTAACTATATACATATATATTAACTATATATATATATATTAACTATATATATATATATATATATTAACTATATATATATATATATATATATATATATATATTAAAAGGAAGAGAGAAACCGCAAACGTTTTTGGTTGTAATGTGTGTAATGTTTGTGTGTGTGTATATGTGTATGTATATGTGTACAAATGTGTTTACTAATTCCTCGTGATAAGACAGTGTGTGTGTATGGAGAGGGAATATATATATATGCACGCATGCTGACACAAGAAAATGGAAATAGATCTAAGAACACACAAGGGTGATTAAAAGATAAGAATGACGATAAATCCTTCACAAATTCTCGATCCAATCCTAATTGTTTTATAACCCTTTACGCAGAACTTTTAACTGCCAGTTCAAGAAAGACATTTGGGTCACTAACACACTAAAAAGAGAATGTCTCATATCGGGAATATTTAATATCGAAAAACATAAGAAAAAAATTAATTATTTTTAATAATATGTGGAAATCTCCACGCTTTGCCTGATAAAGACCACGAGACCGGAAACCTGTGTAGCAAAATTATGGAAAATAAAGCATAATATTTTTTTTTAAAAATCACGTTACAACCAAAAACGTTTGCGGTTTCTCTCTTCTTTTTAATATACACACTTTTCTATCGTTGGAACTACCATAACCTCTTCGCTACATACATATATATATATATATATATATATATATATATATATAGAGAGAGAGAGAGAGAGAGAGAGAGAGTGGTGTACATATGTATAGGGAGCAGCAAATGTAGGTATGTAGTATGTTCGACGGAACTCACCCTAACTGAATTTTTCTGCGATGTGTAAAGGATGTTTTTCATTACTGTATACAAATATCATTGCATTGTGAGACCCAACCATAAACTAATCCGCTTTTATTGTTTTACATTCCTTAGTTCCAAGTGTTTTAATCTACATGGCTAAGAATCTTTATGCCTCTCACATTTAGCGAATCACCCTCATTCCCTTCGTATTCTATTAGTGATATGTAAGTTCCCCTCGAGCAGATTCTTCACTTCTCTATGGAACCGACTCCCAAAAGGATGCTTCTCTGATCACTACAATCTTAACCTGTTCAAGTGTAGGGTTCACCGTTATCTTCTCCACATATCTGCATAAACTGTGTCTATTAATCTGAAACCCTCTACCTCGAGTGGCTTTTGAGCCTTGTACAGGATGGAAATCATTGTAAAAAAACTTCTAAAATCTTAAAATTACTCTGTAATCTTTGACAGTATAACACTCTTTTGTTCACAATAGAGAAACAATCTATTTGGACAGGGAATTTTGGAGAACTATGATCGCCTACCTTTCTGAAGGGGAATTTAAAATACAATATGGATTTAAACAATTGGATATTTCACTGTTATGATGACAAGAGACGTTACTTGATACCAATAAAGGGAATTGTCTCGTGTTACTATAACGATGGTATATTCTATCAGTAAGCATATTGTGCAGGTTGTGCAACGGATATCGGCACAGAAAAGTGAAATCGTCGAGTTCAAATTTCAATCTAGTGTGTTGTGTTCAGTTTCGGAAAAAATAAGCTTGGGAAATTCATAGGTCCGTCTTTTGTCTCCCATCTTTGTGTTAAATTGCAGGATTGGCTGGGATCTCTAGCTTTGGCTAGTAACCAGCTGAAGAGAAAGAAATTTTGATTCCAGACTGTAAGGAAGGCCATGGAGTCTTTCTATCCCTATTTTCTACTTCTGTTCGTTCTTATTCTAAACAACGTTATGTGGATAGAAAGAAGAAAGAAGAATAGGAACGCAGAGAAAATAACAAAAATAAGCAAATAAAAGACCCAAAGAATGAATTAATGAAA